TGGCCAACATGGTGAAACCTCGTCTCTACTAAAAATACAAAAACTAGGCCAGGTGCAGTGGCTCATGCTGGTGATCCCAGCACTTTGGGAGGCCAAGTTGGGCAGATCACTTGAGGTCAGGAGTTTGAGACCAGCCTGGCAAACATGGTGAAACCCTGCCTCTACTAAAAATACAAAAATGGCCAGGCGCAGTGGCTCACGCCTGTAATCCAAGCACTTTGGAGGTCAAGGTGGGCGGACCACCTGAGGTCAGGAGTTCAAGACTAGCCTGACCAACATGGTGAAACCCGGTCTTAAAAAAAAAATACAAAAATTAGCCAGATGGGGTGGTGTATGCCTGTTATCCCAGCTACTCAGAAGGCTGAGGCATGAGAATTGCTTGAACCTGGGAGGTGAAGGTTGCAGTGAGCTGAGATCATGCCACTGCACTCCAGCCTGGGTGACACTGTGAAACTCTGTCTCAAAAAAAAAAAAAAAAAAAAAAAAACTAGCCGGACATGGTGGCTTATGTTTGTAATCCCAGCTACCTGGAGGGCTGAAGCACAAGAATTGCCTCAATCCGCTGGGCGCGGTGGCTCACGCCTGTAATCCCAGCACTTTGGGAGGCTGAGGCGGGTGGATCACGAGGTCAAGGGATCGAGACCATCGTGGTCAACAAGGTGAAACCCCGTCTCTACTAAAAATACAAAAATTAGCTGGGCATGGTGGCGCGCACCTGTAGTCCCAGCTACTCGGGAGGCTGAGGCGGGAGAATTGCTTGAACCCAGGAGGCGGAGGTTGCGGTGAGCCGAGATCACGCCATTGCACTCCATACTGGGTAACGAGCGAAACTCTGTCTCAAAAAAAAAAAAAAATGCCAGGGCCAGGCTCAGTGACTCACACCTGTAATCCCAGCACTTTGGAAGGCCCAGGTGGGTAGATTCTGAGGTCAGGAGTTTGAGACCCACCTGGCCAACATGGCAAAACCCCATCGCTACTAAAAATACCCACAAAAATTTAGCTGGGCATGGTGGTGCCTGCCTGTAATCCCAGCTACTCAGGAGGCTGAGGCAGGAGAATTACCTGAACCCAGGAGGAGGAGGTTGCGGTGAGCCGAGATCATGCCATTACACTCCCGCCTGGGTACCAAGAGCGAAACTCCATCCCAAACAAACAAACAAAAAGAATTGCCTCAATCCACAAGGCAGGGGTTGCAGTGAGCCGAGATCGTGCCGCTGCACTCCAGCCTGGGCCACAGAGCAAGACTCCATGTCAAGAAAAAAAAAAATTGTTTTTTAGGGATAGGGTCTCACTCTGTCGCCCATGATGGTCTCAAACTCCTGGGCTCCAGCAATCCTCCTCCCTTGGCCTCCCAAAGTGTTGGGATTACAGGTGTGAGCCGCAACACCCAGCAGCCTTGTTTTGTTTTACTAGCTGGGTGTGACATGTTATCTCTCCCTCTTTTTTTTTTTTGAGACAGGGTCTCACTTTCTTCACCCAGGCTGGAGTGCAGTAAGATGATAATGGCTCACTGTGGCATCAACCTCCTAGGCTCAGGTGACTCTCCACAGAGCCTCCCAAGTAGCTGGGACTACAGGAACACACTACCTCACTTAGCTAATTTTTTATATTTATATATTTTATTTATTGAGACAGAGTCGCACTCTGTCACCAGGCTGGAGTGCAGTGGCACCATCTCAGCTCACTGCAACCTTCGACTCCTTGGTTCAAGCAATTCTCCTGCTTCAGCCTCCCGAGTAGCTGGGATTATAGTCATGTACCACCATGCCCAGCTAAATTTTTGTGGGTGTTTTTAGTAGAGATGGGGTTTTGCCATGTTGGCCAGGTGGGTCTCAAACTCCTGACCTCAGAATCTACCCACCTGGGCCTTCCAAAGTGCTGGGATTACAGGTGTGAGTCACTGAGCCTGGCCCTGGCATTTTTTTTTTTTTTTTTGAGACAGAGTTTCGCTCGTTACCCAGTATGGAGTGCAATGGCGTGATCTCGGCTCACCGCAACCTCCGCCTCCTGGGTTCAAGCAATTCTCCCGCCTCAGCCTCCCGAGTAGCTGGGACTACAGGTGCGCGCCACCATGCCCAGCTAATTTTTGTATTTTTAGTAGAGACGGGGTTTCACCTTGTTGACCACGATGGTCTCGATCCCTTGACCTCGTGATCCACCCGCCTCAGCCTCCCAAAGCGCTGGGATTACAGGCATGAGCCACCCACCGCGCCCAGCTTTCTTTCTTTTATCTTTGGGGACGAAGTCTGGTTCTGGCACTGAGGCTGGAGCACAGCAGCAAGATATCAGCTCACTACAACCTCTGCCTTCCAAGTTCAAGCAATTCACCTGCCTCTGCCTCCCCAGTGACTGGGATTACAGGCGTATGCCATCATGCCTGGCTAATTTTTTTTTTTTTTGTATTTTTAGTGGAGACAGGGTTTTGCCATGCTGGCCCGTCTGGTCTCGGACTCCTGACGTCAGGTGATCCGCCTGCCCAGGCCTCCCAAAGTGCTGGAATTACAGGCATGAGCCAGTGTGCCCAGCCCCTGCACTGTATTTCAATGGAAGGAAGTCTAACTTAATTTTCCCACAAATGGTTTCCAGATCAACTCTCACTCGGGGCAAACACCAGATCAGGCCTGTCTGCAAGGAACCACAAATTAGTGCAGGTGGGAAAGAGGTTTAACACTCACCTGGTAGAGAAAGGGGGTTCACGCGCCCTCTAGTGTTCACCACAAGCCAAAGACGCCCTGCTGTGCTCCGCAAGGGGACCAGTAATAATTATGTACCAGGTCAGCTTTGAAGTAACTAAGATGTCGATAAGTAAGTGGGTGAATAAACCAACTGGGGTCCATGCAGACAATGAAATATGCTCTGCGAAATAATATATTCCACTGGAAAAGCAAAGAACTAGCTGCTCAGGAGGCTGAGGTTGGAGGATCACTTGAGCCCAGGGGTTCAAGACCAGCCTGAGACCCCATCTCCATGGAAAAAAAATTTAGCTGAAAGTGGTGGCACCTGCCTGTAGTCCAAGCTACTCAGAAGGCTAAGGCAGGAGGATCACTACCATCCAGGAGTTTGAGGTGGCAGTGAACTATTATCTCACCACTGTACTCCAGCCTGGGCAACAGAGCAAAACCCTATCTTAAAAAAAAAAATTGAGTTGGGCATGATGGCTCACATCTGTAATCCCAGTGCTTTGGGAAGCAGAGGTGGGCAGATCACTTAAGGTCAGGAGTTCGAGACCAGCCTAGCCAACATGACAAAACCTTGTCTCTATTTTTTGTTTTTGTTTTTGAGATGGAGTTTCGCTCTTGTTGCCCAGGCTGGAGTGCAATGGCGCGATCTTGGCTCACCGCAACCTCCTGGGTTCAGGCAATTCTCCTGCCTCGGCCTCCTGAGTAGCTGAGATTATAGGCACGCGCCACCATGCCCAGCTAATTTTTTGTATTTTTAGTAGAGACGGGGTTTCACCATGTTGACCAGGATGGTCTCGATCTCTTGACCTCGTGATCCACCCGTCTTGGCCTCCCAAAGTGCTGGGATTACAGGGGTGAGCCACCGCGCCCGGCCGAAAGGATCTCTTGACGTCAGGAGTTTGAGACCAGCCTGGCCAACATGGAGAAACCCCATCTCCACTAAAAATACAAAATAAGCCGGGGATCACTGCACATGCCTGTAATCCCAGCTACCCAGGAGACTGAGGAAGAAGAATCGTTTGAACCTAGGAGGAAGATATAGCAGTGAGCTGAGATCGTGCCACTGCACTCCACACTGGGTGTCAGAATAAGACTCTGTCTCAACAACAATAACAACAAAAATGCAATTTTCCATAACCGAGCTAAGCATCAGCTGTGTACACTAACATTTCTTTTCATAGAATTGTGTTTCAAGGTTACTGAAGTACAACATAATCAGAATCTATGATTCCATTTAGGTTTCCAGGTCAGAAAATGCTTTATCCTTCCAAGGCACCTCCAGTCACTTACAATACTCATCTGTAAAACCAGGTTGTTTTTGCAGACAATTTCCCTGTAACATCCCAACAGTCACGACACTGTCAATTTCCTGGTTTATATTACTTATGTCAGATGTTACCACTGGGGGCAAGTTGGGCAAAGGATATACAATATGCCTTTACTATTTTTCCAATTTTGAGACTATACTTAAAAATTAAAAACTTCAAACAAAAAAGCAAAACAAAAATGTTACTTACTTTACTTTTTGAGGCAGGGTCTCACTCTGTTGCCCAGGCTGGAGTGCAGTGGCACAATCACGGCTCACTGCAGCGCTGACCTCCCAGGCTTAGGTGATCCTCCCACCTCAGCCTTCCGAATAGATGGGGCTACAGACATGGGCCACCACGCCTAGCTAATTTTTCTATGTATATATTTTTTCAATACTCATTCAATGCCTTTGGTACATATACGTATTTTTGTAGACACAGGGTTTCACCATGTTGCCCAGCCTGCTGTTGAACTCCTAGGTTCAAGTCATCTGCCTGCTTCACCCTTAGAAGTATTTTAGTTTCTGGCCGGGCGCAGTGGCTCACGCCTGTAATCCCAGCACTTTGGGAGGCCGAGGCGGGTGGATCACGAGGTCAAGAGATCGAGACCATCCTGGTCAAGGTGAAACCCCGTCTCTACTAAAAATACAAAAATTAGCTGGGCATGGTGGTGCGTGCCTGCAATCCCAGCTACTCAGGAGGCTGAGGCAGGAGAACTGCTTGAACCCAGAAGGCGGAGGTTGTGGTGAGCCGAGATGGTGCCATTGCACTCCAGTCTCGGTAACAACAGCGAAACTCCGTCTCAAAAAAAAAAAAGAAAAATACAATAGTTAGCTGGGAGTGTTGGCACACATCTGTAATTCCAGCTACTGGGGGGGGGGAGGTGAGGCAGGAGAATCGCTTGAACCCGGGAGACGGAGGTTGCAGAGAGCCAAGATTGTGCCTCTGCCCTCCAGCCTGGGAGACAGAGAGAGACCCTGTCTCAATAAATAAATAAATACGAGACAATAAATAATATAATAAAAACATTTCAACTCAACTTTTATTAAGTTAATTAATATTATTATTTTTTTGTAGCGTCGGAGTCTTGTTATGTTACTCGGGCTGCTCTCAAACACCTCTCAAACAAGCGATCCTCTTGCATCAGTTTGCAAAATGCTGGGATTACAGACATGCACCACCACACCAGGCCACAACCCAAAAATCTAAATGATTTTAGGAGTTTGTAAGTCACATGACCAATATGGTACCTCCCCGAGGAGGGGCTCTGAGGCCCAGTGAAAAAGGCTTATATAAAAGGCTCAGGACCAGCTCTGGCAGCGATGAACATGGGTCAAGTCATTCTGCTGTCCCAACTCCTAGACTAAGGTGGCTTTGAATCCGTTTCAGCTGATAAAGAACGACGACGGAGGGCACAAAGGCTCCCCAAACTTGAGCAAACCCAGTGAGAAAACACTTTCCACATCATCTGTCTCGGTCGTTCTGGAGTTGAGACTCATCACAACTGCACCACCCAGGCAAGCAGTTTGCCAGGACTCGAGGGCCTCAGGATTTCATCTCGGGGCCTCCGACTGTATCAGCGAACGCGCCTGGCTCAGGGCGAGCCTATCTTTCTTCTCCTTCTGCAAGACCTGCTCCTCCCACAGCGCCTGGTCCACCTGATCATCCGTGAGCACCACAGGCTTGTACTTCTCATGGAAGAGCCGCTCGTTGGTCTCGGAATGCAGCTGGTGGGTCCCGACCACCCGCAAATGCGCCGGCAGGTGCATAAATTCGTCGTCGTTGATGTCACAGTCGCGCATCCGGGCACCCAGCACCCACCAGCGGCCCACGAAACCCACGTCCAGGATCCGGCCGGGGAAGTCGATCCAGCGGGGCTGCAGGTAGCGACAGTGCGCCTGGTAGAGGCTGGCCTGGGCGTCGAAGGGCGCCTCGTACACCAGCGAACAGAGCCCCAGGTTCACGTGGCGCAGCCGGCCACAGCCCCGAAGCCAGAGCAGCCGCTGCACGAAGGTTTCGGACTCGCGGTTGCGCGTGGCCGGCGCCAGCAGCAGGAGGGTCCCCGACGCCTCCAGCAACGCCTCCTCGAAGGCACCCTCGCCCGGCGCCAGCGTGCAGCAGGCAGCCGCGCCGCCCAGCAGCCCCACGTACACGGCCGCGCGCCCCGGCCGGGCACGAGCCTCCGCCGCCGCGTCCCTGCAGGCCTCGGCGTAGTCCTGGAGCAGCGCGCGGGCCCAGGAGCCTGAGGGAAGAGGGGCGCGATAAGAGTGGTCCGGCGGCGGCGGACACCCACCCTACCGCCTTCCGCCGCTACTCACCCAGCCGCGCCCACACTCTGGGCTTCGCCGCTACAGCGTCGCCCACCTCTGCGCGGCGCCGGGACCAAAGTCTCCTCAGAGCTGCCGCGACCATCCTTTTCTGGTTTAGGGATCCCTGCTCGGGGAAGAAGCTCCTGACACCCGAGTTAAGAACCCGGCAGTCTCTTCTGCGCAAGCGCCAACTTCACCGGAAGTGGCTTCCCAACGTGCGAGCATAGAAAGAGGCCCGGCGCCGGATGTTGCTGTCGTGTCGGAGTCGGGTCAATCTGACTGGCAGGCAGGCCGCGCCGGCGCAGAGAGCCCCAGCCACGCCGACCCAGGTGGCTTCAGGTGAGGTGGGTGGAGCACAGCTTTGGAGACTGGGCGACGAGTTCAAGCCTCCGTGGGTGCTGTTGGCCGCCAGGTAGGGCTGGGGGCCGAGGGACCGGCTCGGGGGCACGAGGGAAGCGGACCTGATCGGCCTGTGTCCTCAGCGAGGGATGCGGAGACGCCCCTGAACAACCATGGCAGCGGCCGACGAGCTGACCTTTCACGGTGAGTGAGGCCCCGACATGGCGGGATGTCCTACTCCCGCCCCTCGCCAGTACCTCCCCGTCCATGCGGCTTCCAGCATCTCTACCCCGAATCCCGGGCGGCTGTGAACTGACTCAGGAGTGAGACCCATCCCTGACTCGAACCCCGCTCCCGCCGTGAACTCAGACCTCACAACCGAGCCTCTAGTCCCCAGACCCTGACCTCATCCCAGGGCCAATCCTAACTTGCAGTTCCACGTTAGAAGGAAGGGAACAGGGGTCCTCCGGATGCCTCCAAACTGAGGAAGTTAGGCCCCCGCCTTGGGGATGATCAGTGGCCCAGCAGAGCCTTCGCCCCCAGAGGAGCATCGACTTGGCTTGGGCCCAGTCGAATTCTTTCCACCCCACAGAAGTGCGTGTGTCCCATATCTCCCCTCCACAGAATTCGAGGAGGCCACTAATCTTCTGACTGAGACCCCAGATGCAGCCACCACCAGTAGAAGCGATCAGCCAACCTCACAGGGGCACGTGGCTGTGGCTGTGGGCTCAGGTGACAGCTATGGAGCCGAGGATGAGGTGGAGGAGGAGAGTGACAAGGCTGCGGTGAGTCCTTGTCCTGCTTCCTGCTTCTGTGCAGCCCACTGCTGACCCAGGCTGTTGGGGCAGGCACTGAATGTCCGCGCTGTGTGTAGCTCCTGCAGAAGCAGCAGCAGCAGCCCGGATTCTGGACCTTCAACTACTATCAGAGTTTCTTTGACGTGGACACCTCACAGGTAGGGTCCGGGGAGGCAGGTGGGATGGGGCTCAGGGTGCTGGTGAAGGAACCAGGGTGCCCTGGAAGGGTTATGGTGGGACTGGTTATGGATCGGGACTGTGGGAACACAGGGTACACACACAATCTGGTGGGTTAGAGGAAGGCCTCCTGGAGAAGGTGAGGAATTGGCTGAGACCTAAAGGAGAAGGAAGGCAGAGTGGAGGGGAGCAGAAGTATGTTCCAGGCACAGGGAACAGCATATGCAGAAGACCAAAGGTGGGCCAGGCGCAGTGGCTCACGCCTGTAATCCCACTAGGACTTTGGGAGGCTGAGGTGGGATCACCTGAGCTCAGGAGTTTAAGACCAGCCTGGCCTACATGGTGAAACCCCATCTCTACTAAAAAGACAAAAATTAGCCAGGTGAGGTGACAGGCACCTGTAATCCTAGCACTTTGGGATGCTGAGGTGGGCGGATCACTTGAGGTCAGGAGCTTGTGACCAGCTTGGTCAACATGGCAAACCCCATCTCTACTAAAAATACAAAAATTAGCCAGGCATGGTGGTGCACTCCTATAGTCCCAGCTGCTTGGGAGGCTGAGGCATGAGAATTGCTTGAACCGGGAGGCAGAGGTGGTAGTGAGCCAAGATTGTGCCACTACGCTCCAGCCTGGAAAAGTGTGAGATTCCATCTCAAAAAGTAAAAGAGGGAAGGGCTAAGCTCTTTCAGGTGGGGCATGGAGAGAAGAGGGTGGAGGTCAGCAGGGAAGGAGCCTCTCAGGACGAGAATCTCCTGGCAGGCCTCCATCCTTGACCTCGGCCTTGCCCCCAGGTCCTGGACCGGATCAAAGGTTCGCTGTTGCCCCGGCCTGGCCACAACTTTGTGCGGCACTATCTGCGGAATCGGCCGGATCTATATGGTGAGTGAGGTCATGCATTCGGTTCCTTTCATTGATCACTCCACAAGTGTGGCCCGAGTTGCAGACCCCAGTGTGCAGCTGAGGACAAATGAGTCACTTAGAGAGTGTGACTTACCTTCTGTTCAGGGAGACGGGGAAATGAAGGACTGCAGAGGGTGGTGGGTAGAGCAGCAGAGTGGAGAGAAGGAATGGCCTTGCTGTTTTGCAGGGTGCGTCAGGGCAGGCCTGCCTGAGGAGGGTGAGGGAATGAGCCTTGCTGGCAATGGGATGGGTGGGAGACCTAGGAAAAGATGGTTCTAGAAAGGGCATGAGCTCCATGGCGGGAACTTGCATGAACTGCAGGACGGCATTGCCACTGGAGCAAGTGAGCTGTAGGAAAGGGATGGATCACACAGGCCTCCCGTGCTGTGGCAAGAAGGGATTTTTTTTTTTTTTTTTGAGATAGAGTCTTGTTCTGTCACCCAGGCTGGAGTGCAGTGATGTGTGATCTCGGCTCACTGCAATCTCTGCCCATCGGGTTCAAGCAGTTCTCCTGCCTCAGCCTCCTGAGTAGCTGGGATTACAGGCACACGCCACCGCATGAGGCCAGTTTTTGTATTTTTAGTAGAGACAGAGTTGCACCATGTTGGCCAGGCTGCTCTCAAACTCCTGACCTCAGGTGATCTGCCCACCTCAGCCTCCCTAAGTGCTGGGATTACAGGCATGAGCCAGTGCACCTGGCTGAGATGGAATCTTAGTTACGTGTTCTCTGGTCCCTCTCACCATCCTGGGGGGCGAGGGCAGAAGCCAGGAGGCCGGGGTGCAGGCGGCCACATGGTGGAGACTGTGGATGTAGAGAGTGGTGCTGGATTCTGGAACATGCTGTGGAAGTAGAAGCAACTGGCTTTGCCGCTAGACAGGTGGGGGTGTGGGGAGTGGGAGGGTAAGAGCTGAGGCAGGCTCTAGGGATGTCTGCCTGGACTACGGAATGGATGGAGTTGCTACTTATCCAGGGACCAGCTGGGCAGTGAGGGCAGAGGGAAAGGGTAGTGGGTGAAGCCAGAGATGCCCACCTAGGAGCTTGAACTGGAGGCTGCAGTTCTCAGGGCACAGCCTCAGGCTCTAGGGGAGGCACAAGGCCCTAGGCTTGGAGGAGGTCACACCAGGAGTGAACACAGACATGGAAGGGGCCAAGGACTGGGCCCAGATGCTTCCCATGGCTGAAGGGGTCAGAGAGTCAAAGAGGAGGTAACAGTGATTGAGGAACTGGCACCAACGAGGTGAGATACAGGCCGATGGTGTGCAGTCCTCAGTGTTTCCGGGAGAGGACGGGCTGAGAGCTGGCACTGGGCTTAGCCACCGGGAAGCCCCTGGTGTCCTGGTGAGTCAGGCAGGGTGCTTAGGAAGAGGCTGGGGTCTCATCATACTTGAGTCAGGATACATCTATCTGGTGGTCCTGGGAGCACAGGATCTGGGACCCTGACTGCCCCCTACCCCCAGGCCCCTTCTGGATCTGTGCCACGCTGGCCTTCGTCCTAGCTGTCACCGGCAACCTGACACTGGTGCTGGCCCAGAGGAGGGACCCCTCCATCCACTACAGCCCCCAATTCCACAAGGGTAAGCAGGTGGGCAGGCCCAATGCCTGGCAGGGCCCCGGGGGACAGGGGGTGACTGCTCGCCTTGCCCCCAGTGACCGTGGCAGGTATCAGCATCTACTGCTACGCGTGGCTGGTGCCGCTGGCCCTGTGGGGCTTCCTGCGGTGGCGCAAGGGTGTCCGGGAGCGCCTGGGGCCCTACACCTTCCTGGAGACCGTGTGTGTCTACGGCTACTCCCTCTTTGTCTTCATCCCCATGGTGGTGAGTGTGACCCGGTGTGCAGTGGGTGGTGGCTGTGTGGGGCCCCCTGGCATGGTCACCTGCTGCCTGTGTCACTCCCAGGTCCTGTGGCTCATCCCTGTGCCTTGGCTGCAGTGGCTCTTTGGGGCACTGGCTCTGGGCCTGTCGGCTGCAGGGCTGGTATTCACCCTGTGGCCTGTGGTCCGTGAGGACACCAGGCTAGTGGCTGCAGTGCTGCTGTCTACGGTTGTGCTGCTCCACGCCCTCTTGGCCATGGGCTGTAAGGTATGGGTCTGGGGTGGCCACGGGTGGGCTGAGGGGCTGGGGCAGGTCGGCTGGCCCTGCCTCTGACCCCAGGGATCTTGTGCAGTTGTACTTCTTCCAGTCGCTGCCTCCAGAGCATGTGACTCCTCCACACCAAGCCGCATCTCTGCCCACAAACATCCCACTGTCCCCTACCCTGCCTCGGTCCATGGCTCCCTCCTAGGAAGGCCCAGGTCCCACAGGTAAGGGACTGTTCCCAGCTGGGCTGAGGGGGCTGCCTTTCCACCCCCAATGAAGGCAAGAGGTCCTGGGGCCATTCTCAGGCAGTTCTCTCTTTTAGGCAGTACCTAAGTGGACCAACCCCTCTGCCCCCCAGACAGTGACTGAACGCTCCCGACACCTTGAGATGACTCTGCTACTTTCCAGACTTTTCTTACAAAGCAAACACTTTTATTTTCTATGCAAAGGTGATTCAGAGAATTTATATAAAGGTGGGCGAAGGGCAGCTGAGCAGGGAGCTTTGGGACAGGGCCAGGGCCCCAATATCCCCTGGGGCTGCCTGCTTTCCCCTCTACGGCTCCCCTGGCACAGGAGGGAGAGCCTGGACAGTGCCCGCTCTGCCTGGGCGCACACACGGCGGGCCCGAGCTCCAGCATCTGAACTTGGGGGTGTGAGAAACGGGAGCAGAAGAAGAAACTGCCTGTGCTGCAACACATTTCCTCGTTTATTTTTTCTTTCTTTCTTTTTTGGAGGGAGAGGTCCCTGCAAGGCCCCTTCCCAGGCAGGGGAGGGACGGAAATGCTGACACAGTAGTAGGGACTGGAGCGTCTACAAAGACGGAGGGTATGATACTCAGGCCTAATGGTAGCTA